TAGTGAGTTCCAGGACAGCTGAGGCTACAGGGAGACCCCGTCTCAAAAAGACCATCAAAAAAAAAAAAAAAAAAAAAAAAACCAAAAATACCCTGAAATTAAAAAAAGAAAATATTGATGACTAAAATTAATTTGAATGTAGCTTAAATTTGAGTTATTCCAAATGGTCTTGTATACTTAAAACAATTTCACATGTCCTTCCAAATAACAGAATCTTGACGTTTGAGGCAGTGTAGAATATCAAGGTGTTTCTTGTACCTTTAGTTATTTATTTCCTTATAGCTAATAATGGAATGGTAGCAATGACGCGTTTGTAGTCTACTACTCAAGAAGACAGAAGGGTCACTTAGGCCTAGGACTTTGAGATTAGCCTGGACAACACCATAACAACCCACCTCTAAAATAAGTAGAAAAATAAATAAATAATACAGTATAAAATTAATTACTTGTGCAATTTGGACAACCTACTTCAGCTCTGTAAGCCACTATTTAATGGCACCTGAGCTTACATTGTTTGTTCACATGTTAGAGAAGTATTGTAAGGATGGAAAGAGAGAGTATAAACAAGATCATAGTTCTCTGTCTGCAGGAACAGATACATACTGGGTCTGGAAGGCAGCGTGTGGCCCCTCAGGAGTCACTCTTATAAATGCCTGAAGACATTAAAACGTCTCTCGTATTTCTCATGACTTACCATTTGTTCTCAGTCTTGAGATGCACAGTCATTTTCATATACTGATCTTCCTTTCGCTCTTCCAAAGTGGCAGAAACAAGAGAAAGCTCCCCAAAGAGGCAGACCAGCCAGGTCAAGCGAGAAATGCCACTGAATGCGGGGAAGCCAAATTGCTCTTCTGCCAGTGGTCCAGCTGCAAACAATCACAAATGATGTGGGAACTGAGAACATGAATTGGAAACGGCTCTTGAAGCTCAGGATCCAGGGGAGACTGGGAAGGGGCACAGCTAAGTAATTAGAAGGATGTCCTGCATCATGGCATAGCTATGTATGGTAATCAACAAAACGATGAAAGGTATGTTGCTAAATGGAAGTTCTTCCACAAAAGTGTTTCTCTTCTTTTTTAAAAAAATTTTTAAAATACTTTGAAAATGCATTTTTTATTCAATGATGTTAGTAAATCAGACAATCTTCTAGCAATAGTGGTCAATAGAACCAGAGAGAATAAAAAAAAAATCAGATTTCTAATTTATTCAGTAGTCACATGTATACATATATAAATGAATACATACTCATACACATAGATACATACTTACATACCCTCCTCAATTAAGAGATTTAAAGAGATCTGGTAAGAAGAACTATGGTATTTTAGCCTTTGAAACACAGATTCTTGTAAGTACTATATATGAAAATGGCAGTGGGATGATGGCACCATGGTAGCTTAAAGTGTAAACAAAATGTTAACACATAGGCTGATCAATATCAAGAGCAGTGGTCTAGGGTTAAAAGTTTCAATCTCGGACCACCTGTTCCGGCCTCCCCCAGGCATAGAGGCTACAAACTGGGCCCTCAGATCCTGCCTCCACATGGTGCTGAGCTTCCCACTAACTGGGATTGCATGAGGCCCCTCCTAAGGCCCCAGGACGGAGCTGGTTTTGGTAGGATAAGTCTGAGATCTTAGCAGACAGCCTGAGAGGGTAGGTTCCTGACTTCCATCATTGTAGGCTGTGATCTCAGCAGATCCCCATAGAGTGCCTGTTCTGGTCTTCCTCTGGCATAGGGGCTAAGCAGATCATCTGAGAGTCCCAAAATCAGCGACCCTCTTAGGGATCTTCTCAAATTTTGCACTGAGTTCCCACTAGTAGGGGTGCATATCCTAGAAGGAAGCCTGAGTGTACCTGACTGGAACCTGAATTGGGCTTCTGTGGGTACTCCTGAGTAGCTGATCTGAAGCCATCAGTTCCCTCCAAAATAAAACCTGAGAGAACCTGAAACCTGGACCAACCAGCTTTACATAATTAATAAGAAAAGGACCAAGGCACACCAATAATACAAACAGAAGCATACTTCAACTTAATTCGCATATCAGGATCACAAACAAAAGAAATTTACATGCCAAAATCACAATGAAAGAATAATAAAATAGAAAGCCAAAACACTATGTCCCAACCAAACTCCACCAGTCCTGTAGAAGAGTTCTACAAGGAGAACCCCCTAGAGATAACCCAGGACACTGAATTTAAAAGAACAATCATAAACATGATCAAGGAATTCAATGAATTTAAAGAACACACAAACAAACAAATCAAAGAATTGAAAGAAGATAGGGATAAACTTCGGAATGGATTCACAAAAGAGATAGAAACCTTGAAGAAAACTCAGGCAGAAATGAAGAAGGAAGTGCAAAACTCAACAAGCCAACTTGAAACAACAGGGAAAAGCCTCACTGCTAGAATGAATGAAATGGAAAACAGAATATCAACACTGGAGGATAAAGTTAAATTGGACCACTCAAGCAAAGATTATGAAAAATTAAAAAAGAGACAGGAATGGAATATGAAGGAGATGTGGGACACCATGGAAAGACCAAATCTATGGATCACAGGTATAGAGGAAGGAGAAGAATTTCAGGTTAATGGTATTGACCAGATCTTAAACAGGACTGTAGAAAATAATTTCCCAAAATTAAAGAAGGACATCCCCATACAAATAAAGGAAGCACATAGAACACCAAATAGACAGGATCAGAAAAGAAACTCCCCACAACATATCACAGTAAAAACACTAAATGTACAGAACAAGGAGAGAATACTGAAAGCAGCAAAAGAAAAACAAGTCACATACAAAGGAAAGCCCATCAGAATTATAGTTGACTTATCAATGCAAACTATGAAAGCCAGAAGAGCCTGGACCAAGGTATTTCCAGTTCTACATGACAATAGATGCCAGTCCAGAATACTATACCTAGCAAAAATGTCAATTATAGTTGAGGGGGAAAGAAAAATCTTCCATGACAT